CACTAATTAAAAGAAGGTTTATTCAGGGGGATAGATATCCTTCATTATCAAATCATTTGTTTTTGGTATCGATTGAATGTACCAATTTAGTTGAAATTTACATTCTACTCATTTTAAATTAAAATTCAGTTCCGGAAGAGATGGTTGGTAATAATACAACAAAAAACACATAATATGAAATTAAGAGAGCCCTTTACTTCCAAGATTCACTAGAGTTTTACATTTACCTACTAAAATATAACACTGAAAAAATGAATATAAACTAGCATTTTGGCACATCTTTCAAATATGAAACCTCTATGATCTTTCTCCTAGTTAATAACTCACGGGAGGAGTAAGAAATGAGAAAAAAAAAAAAAACTTGAATACAAACAAAATGCGGAATACATTGGACAAAACCTGCTCAAGAACACTAAATACTAAAGCAGCCCATATATATATCCTAAAAGATTTATACTTAATTAATATATAAAAGAATTAGTGTAAATTTGGATCATCATTTCTTCAACTCACCCTTAAACCCATTTTGCCAAATCCAGTGTCTTGCATCATGTCCACGAACTCACTGTAATCTATTCTTCCATCCTGACATAAACCAACAACAACACACAATTATATAAACATTAAACAACAATGATGCTTCCTAACTACTGAAAGCAAGAGCAAATTTTACATTGTCCTTATCGACTTCCCGTAAAATGTCATCTAAATGAACATCCATTAATCCGAATTGTTTGCAAGCTTTTTGGAGCTCGTCTCGGGTTATATAGCCACTTCCATCTTTATCAAAGTAAGAGAAAGCTGTGAACAAATGGTCTTCTTTCTCTATTTTGTTTAAATGAACCATCGCCGCTATAAACTCTCCATAGTCTATAGTCCCACTGTTATCTATATCCGCCTGAAAAATGTTTTTTTTTTCCTTTTCAAATTATTTGATATAAGATCATATGATATAGTAAAAGGTGTAATGTAGAGAAGTGGACTTACTGCTTGCATTAATCCTACTATTTCTGAATCTTTAAGGTTAGCACCAACTCTGTCCAAACCTTTCTTGAGTTCTTCGAGAGTTATGTGTCCACTATTGTCTGTATCTATCATCTTGAACATTTCCTTTAACCCTGCTATCTCTTCCTCTGATAAGCTCTCTGCTATTACCTGATCAATGAATACAGAACAACAAGTCATGTGCTATTTTACCTGATCAATGAATACAGAACAAGTCATGTCAAGATAAATTGGTAATTTGGAAATGATTTTAAGTGGATTAGGCAAACAAAATGATGTCAATTTATATGCTGGATCCTTGAAAGAACGGATTTTTATGCGAGTCATTATGTTATCTACAACAAAATTGGTATAGATGATGGAAAATTTTCGGATTGTTCACCTTGATAGCAATTTTCTTGAGCTTGTTCATGGCTGAAAACTGTTTCAAACGACTGAGGACAGCAGAATCAAGAGGTTTATCAAGGGCAACACCGTCCACTCGTGCCCAAGGATGACCTGCAACATAATGAAACACTACAATATTTATACAAGTAGCTATGTGCTAACATTTCTCATTGATTCAACTTATTTGGAAAGAAGAACACTTACAGAGAACTTCATGAGCTGTCATTCGCTTCTTCGGGTCTCTGATCAGCATCCGACGCACCAAATCTTTTGCGCTTTCTGATACACTAGGCCATGGTTCTGATACAAAATCGAGGTCACCTTTCAAAACCTGCTCAAAGATCCCTTGTTCCGTTTCTGAACCGTATAACAAAAACCAATCAGTCACAACTATATCTGGTACAACCATTGAACAAGCTTGTCTCTCTCTCTTACCATCCCAAAACGGAGGAACGCCACTTAGTAAGATGTATATAATAACTCCAGCACTCCATACATCACATTCATGACTATAATGCTTCCGTAAAACTTCTGGAGCCACATAATAAGGACTCCCAACTACATCACTGAATGTTTCTCCTGTAAACAAGATCATCAAATTACACCATCAAAAATATCAATTTGGCAACACATAAGAGAAGCATTTGGGAATATAGTATACCTGGTTTAAAGAAAACAGAGAGACCAAAATCAATAGTTTTAAGTGCAGCTTCTTCATCACCATTAACAAACAAGAAATTCTCAGGTTTAAGATCACGATGCATAACACCAAGAGAATGACAAGCTTCAATAACACCAACAATGATTCTCGCAAGCTCTGCAGCTTTTCTCTCTGTGTAATGTCCTCTCTGTATAATCCTATCGAATAACTCACCACCTGCACAAATCTCCATGACAACATGAACAGCTACTGCATCTTCATAAGCACCAACAATCTGAATCACATTTGGATGTCCAGACAAATGATGCATAATCTGAATCTCTCTTCTAACATCTTCAACATCTTCAGGAGTCGTCAGTTTCCTCTTGGCAATCGTTTTACAAGCGAATTCTTTGCTTGTTTTCTTATCTACACATAGAAACGTTGTTCCGAATTGTCCTTGACCTAATTTCCTACCAACACTGTATATATCTTTGAGATTCTCTGTTTTCCTACCGAGTACCGATTCGATCTGTAAACCTGCACTCGCCATTCGTTTCATGTTCTTCGGCTTCGAATTCGCGTCTTCTTCCGCGGTTTTGGGTGCTTCTTCGGTCGCCATTTTAACCGGTGGAGGTGGTGTGCTTGGAGTCGGTACAGGTTGATCGGCGGCGGCAGAGGAGGAAGATTCGCCGTTAACGCTTTTTTTTCGGCTGCTTTCGTCTTTGTTGGTTTTAAGGCTCTCGTCTGGTTTCTGATTACGCCAAACAGCTGCACTAACGGATTGAAGGAATCCATTAGGGTTCAGATTTGGACCTACGCATGTGTTTCCCATTCAATTTGCTTTCTCTTCTTCTATATCTCTCTCTCTTAGATTCTCGAGATCGCTGTTTCTCTCCGATACCGGAAACACGAGCCATTAATAAACGAATCCATCGGAGAATTTTTGCTGTGTCTTCAAATTCGACACAGCGCGAAATCGTAAACCTGAAATTGAAATGACCACAATGTAAGTTGATCTCGCTTTACAGCTTCTTCTTCTTCCTCGCGCCGCACGCCGGAATCGGAATTTCTCGAGAAAGTCTGTGGAATTTCTTTGATTTTTGCTTCCGAGAAAATCTGATGAGGTTGGAGGAGGAGAAGAGAAGAAATGAACAAAATTGATTGTAGCATTAGGGACCGTATATTATTTGGAGA